TGCAGTTCAAGGGACTCTCAAGAGTCTTCTCCAACACCATAGTTCAAAAGCATCAATTTTTTGGTGCTCAGCTTTCTTTATAGTCCAACTCTCACATCCATACATGACCACTGGAAAAACCATAGCCTTGACTAGACGGACCTTTGTTGGCAAACTAATGTCTCTGCTTTTTAATATGCTATCTAGTAATTAGCCTCCAACTAATAAAAATAAATGGGAAAAAAAGAAGCAAACAAACAAAAAATGCTATCTAGGTTGGTGATAACTTTTCTTCTAAGAAGTAAGCGTCTTTTAATTTCATGGCTGCAATCACCATCTGCAGTGATTTTGTAGCCCCCCAAAAATAAAGTCTGACACTGTTTCCACTGTTCCCCATCTATTTCCCATGAAGTTATAGGACCGGATGCCATGATCTTAGTTTTCTGAATGTTGAGCTTTAAGCCAACTTTTCACTCTCCTCTTTCACATTCATCAAGAGGCTCTTTAGTTCCTATTCAATTTCTGCCATAAGGGTGGTGTCATCTGCATATCTGAGGTTATTGATATTTCTCCCGGCAATCTTGATTCCAGCTTGTGCTTCTTCCAGCCCAGTGTTTCTCATGATGTACTCTGCCTATAAATTAAATAAGCAGGGTGACAATATACAGCCTTGATGTGCTCCTTTTCCTATTTGGAACCAGTCTGTTGTTCCATGTCCAGTTCTAACTGTTGCTTCCTGACCTGTATACAGGTTTCTCAAGAGGCAGGTCAGGTGTTCTGGTATTCCCATCTCTTTCAGAATTTTCCACAGTTTATTGTGATCCACACAGTCAAAGGCTTTGGCATAGTCAATAAAGCAGAAATAGATGTTTTTCTGGAACTCTCTTGCTTTTTCAATGATCCAGTGGATGTTGGCAATTTGATCTCTGGTTCCTCTGCCTTTTCTAAAACCAGCTTGAACATCTGGAAGTTCACAGTTCATGTATTGCTGAAGTCTGGCTTGAAGAATTTTGAACATTACTTTACTAGTGTGTGAGATGAGTGCAACTGTGCAGTAGTTTGAGCATTTTGGATTGCCTTTTTTTGGGACTGGAATGAAAACGGACTTTTCCAGTCCTGTGGCCACTGCTGAGTTTTCCAAATGTGCTGGCATATTGAGTGCAGCACTTTCACAGCATCATCTTTCAGGATTTGAAACACAACGGGAATTCCATCACCTCCACTAGCTTTGTTCATAGTGATGCTTCCTAAGGCCCACTTGACTTTACACTCTAGAATGTCTGGCTCTAGGTGAGTGATCACACCATCGTGATTATCTGGGTCATGAAGATCTTTTTTGTACAGTTCTTCTGTGTATTCTTGCCACCTCTTAATATCTTCTGCTTCTGTTAGGTCCATACCATTTCTGTCCTTTATCGAACCCATCTTTGCATGAAATGTTTTCTTGGTACCTCTAATTTTCTTGAAGAGATCTCTAGTCTTTCCCATTCTGTTGTTTTCCTCTATTTCTTTGCACTGATCACTGAGGAAGGCTTTCTTATCTCTCCTTGCTATTCTTTGGAACTCTGCATTCAAATGGGAATATCTTTCCTTTTCTCTGTTGCTTTTCACTTTTCTTTTCATAGCTATTTGTAAGACCTCCTCAGACAGCCATTTTACTTTTTTGCATTTCTTTTCCTTGGGGATGGTCTTAATCCCTGTCTCCTGTACAATGTCAGTAACTTCCATTCATAGCCCTAGCACTCCCTAATTCAATAGTAATCGTCAGCTCTCACTGATCACTGCTGATTTGGGTGATAACCATCATTATAAAAGATTTTATAACCAAAAGCATACCTTGAGAATTTTCCATTTCATACATTCTCAGATTAGAAAAAAACTATTTGAAATATGCAGACTTAAACTAACATTGCAAAATATTCCTTATACATTAAATTACTCTCAAATTACTAGCTGTCAGTGACATCCCTGATAGGAGTGTCCAGGGCTTCCCTGGTGGCTCAGCTGGTAAAGTGTCTGCCTGCAATGAGGGAGACCTGGGTTTGATCCCTGGGTTGGGAAGATCCTCTGGAGGAGGAAATGGCAACCCACTCCAGTACGCTTGCCTGGAAAATCCCATGGGCGGAGGACCCACAGTAGGCTACAGTCCATGGGATCGCAAAGAGTCGGACAGGACTGAGTGGCTTTACTTTCTTTACATTTTACAACTTTTACAAAAGCCCAGATGGTCAGGAAGAGCTTTACCAAATTTGGATCAAATTTTTAATAGAACGATTTTTAAATATTTTTAAACAACCAGCTCAGAGTTATATTCTAAAAAGCTACTTAACAGTATTTGCAGCTAAGAGAACATGCAATTACCAGAAAAATCTAGCGAAGTCCTAGTTCTTATATCCTAAGGTAAAAAATAATGTGGGAAAACAATGTAAAAAAATTATATATGTGTATATATATATATATATATATAAATCACAAAGTGAAAATGTGATATTAAATCTAGTTTGTCCATGTCCAGCTGAAAGCATTCTGTAAAGTGTCTAAGTTTAAAAATAATAATTCTCTAGTATACAGTTAAGTCAGATGTCTAACCATCAACCTTTTATCTTGGGCTGCTGAAAAATAAACTTTAGATCTATTCACAATAAAACATAAGGTACTTCCAGACTCAATCCCTTTTAAGAGTTTTAACTTCCATATATGCTCAAACATCTACAACAACTAGAATAATGAGCCAAAAAGTACATTTTAAAAGATTCTCTAAGAGGATTTTATAAAAAGCAGAATTTGATTATGTTTTAGGAGAGGAAACTTCTTTAACCTAGAGGGAGTCAGCAAATGTGAAACCACAGAAAATATTCAGATTTTTGAAAGGAAAAAACCTCACCAATGGTCTGAGAAGCAGGAGGGTGAAATTACTTAATTACTCAGAGTAATGAAAGCTAGAGGGTAAAGATAGGGGAAAAACACATAAAATAACTGTTTCACTAGCTTCACTTGGCCTTGACTTAAACTAGAACACTTTCTGCCCTGTATTACTCCAAACAATTTACCAAAAAGGAAAATATTCTTTCTAAGTAACCCAAAGCACAAGTAGCAAAAACTTCAATGTTATCATACAGCAATTATGATGCTCTAGTTTATGTTTCAAATAGTTCAGAATTGCACATGCTCACGAAGTGGTCCTGGGTGCAGCAGAAGTTCTTCATTTTAATGCAACACTGATCTTCCCAGCAGTTTTCCTCTGCTGCCTCATATCTTTCTTTCATAACCCTACGTGGTCCTCCATAGAAATATCCCTTTAATCATGAACACAGGAAAACAAACCCCCCTATACCGGTGGAAAGGCATGTGAAAGAATCCAGTATCTTTACTTTCTGCAGAACAAGGCAAAAAATATTTCTTTCAGGGTCACCAGCCAGTTGAGCTGAGTGTTTTAATACTGATACTCTCCAGCAGGTAATTTAATTTGTTTTTAGGAAGGATGAGAATTAAAAGCAACACAAAGAGTAATAATGAATCAGGGGCTAGAATTTTCTCCAAAGTTAGAAACTTTAAATATAGACTCCTTAAATTAGGAAGGGCCTCAGCACTGAGGAAATGATTTTGCAGAGGGAAGTGAGAGAAACCGTAAGTGATCTGTCTACAGCCTCCTAGAAGGAATGAATCTCTCGCCCCCGTCAAGGGTTCCTTCCACGACCATGCTTTTTCCTTTGCCCTTTCCTTCTGCCTCTTAATCTCTCTGACAAATGCTCAAAGCGTCATTTAAATTAGTCCCCTACTCAAAATAACAAGGACTTGCCAAAGGAAGGCAAAGTTTGAGATACAGATTCCAATTAAGTACCTCTGATTTCTGGATAACTCAGGTCTTCCAGAAATTGGCTCCAGTAGCATGTGTTATTTATTTATACTCAACCCTTTTTCTATAAACAACTTGATATGCTTGCATAAATATATAAAATGCAACCAGCTAAAAATAAATACAATGGGGAAATTATCACAAAGTGGGGGGAAAGAAAAGGCTAAAGCTAGCCTATTAAAGGCACCAACAGTAGGATCTCGTGGAAAGGACAAGTATTGAAATTCCAAAAGAAATCTCCTGGAGAAACTGTCTTACACCAAGAAAGCAACTTACATAACTGGTGGCTTGTAGCAAATGTCATAAGCAATGCAACAACAGTGACATATTGAGGGACTTCCCTGGCAGTCCAGTGGTTAGGACTCCGCCCTTTCAATGCACAGGGGTGTGGGTTCAATCCCTAGTTGGGGAGCTAAGACCCTACATGCTTCATGGCCAAAAGACCAAAACATAAAACACAAGTAATATTTTAACAAATTCAATAAAGACTTAAAAAAAAATAGTGACCCACCAGAAATAAACTGTGGGTTGAAATGAAATGTTAATAAGAGTTTGTGAGTAGGGATGAGGCACAGATTTTTCTTTTAAAGTCTTAATATGCAGGTTTGGGGTTTCTGAAGTAGGTCATTCCTGAGCCTTGCAAGGTTAGAAAGAAAAAAAGCTGAAAGGAGAAGAGGAGAAAGTTACAGAGTAGGGGGAGGCAGAGGAAACAATGACAGGTTGATGTCAACCTAGCCATCATTTGTTAAAGAACCAAAAGTAATTTATCGCATAATTAGAGGCTCAAATTCATACATCACCTGAACTCAGCTGCGCTTTTGCTATGTTATAATGCAATATAGTGTAAATCAATTGGCTCAGAATTTAAAATTAGAGCCCAATTACCTGTGTAAGGGAATCATAAATCCAACTTGTATTTTTCTAACAGGGTTAACAACTCATGATGCCCGCTTAAACTCGGGAAAATCAATTTTCTGAGCTTAAGAGCAATTGTGTGTTGGTATTTTTTTCACCCTGGTCTACAGCCCCAGGTTGAAAGGCTGAAGGTAACGAATAAAGTGATTGGGGGAGGGTAGGAGTCTCGAGTAAAGATAACAAACACAAAGCATTGAATATGTTCAAAACACCAACCACACGCAGGAAAAACAGGATTGGGGGCACTTACGTGTAACAGGCAACCAGAACCTGGGCACCTGCTATTCGGTGATGGAGTGAAGGCAAAACACTCCTACTGTTTTTCCAGTTCAGCAAAAATTTCCCTAGGGATAAAGAGGAAGATGAAATACTAAGTAAGGGCAGAGCTTGCACTCCTGCTAAGAGCATAGCAGAACCAGGCCTGCCTGACTGAGGTCACACTTGCATGAAACCCAGAGAGTCCCCTCTCAGGGGGGTTTGCTGGCCTTCTCTTCTACTGAAAACATCTGAGGGAACACAGTGTGGAGAGTAAAGGGCAGTGGAATAAAGCTGCGGTGATAGAGGCGGAAGCATCAGTAGGAACAGCCTTCAAGGAGGATGGTTCAGCACCGCAGGTGCCTGTTCATATATCCTACGTGCCCACCCATGATATCACACATACATGTATCTACATTCTGACACTGAAATTCCATCTCCATGAAATTCTGCTTGAGAAACAATAGAACCAGGTTGCACACATATACATACAAGGTTCCTCATTGCGGTGTTGCTTCTAAGAAGTTGGAAGCAGACTAAAAATGCATCAAGGGGAATGATTTAAGTAAACTTAAGCAATTTAATGATGTACGTAAATTTAAGCATTTCACCCTACAGGGCAATCCTATGCTGGAAATGCAGATGAGGATGTAAAATTCTATGGACACAGCACACTGTAAGATAACATTACAAAAGAGTGTTACTGGCTATGTTGATTTTGAATGTTGTGTATGTGCGCACAAGTGAAGCAGACAGTCTGAGAGAAAATACCTTCACATATTAGTTAAGGTCATTACTGTGTGGTGGAATGCTAAATCATATTTATTTTTCAAAAAACTTCTCCTATGGTGTTGGATTTTTTAATTTTAATTTTACAAAAATGGCAGGCATTCCTTTCATAATCTGAAAAAAAAACTACTATAGCAGTTCCTATTTTGGATTTTTTTTTTAATAAAGAGGACAAGAGGAAGAGTAGCAATATATAGAAAAGGCAAAAGCCCATGTGGCCCACGAGGCTTTCCTTGAACAAAGCACTAGCACCAGTCCCAAAAAAGATTTCTGTTTTTACACAGAATTCCACTGACTATACATATTATTGAGGAGGAGAAACAAATGCACCAAAACAAATCATCTGTCCACCTTACCTTTGTATTCTGTGGGTAAAAATACCCCAGTCCGTACTATGCTTCTGAGAGCAAAGGATGTCCCTCCAAGACCCAAAATACAGCTAGAAATCTCGGCAATTGTGCCTTTTACACTGGGCTTATTAGTGTCTCTGTTTTTCTCATCTTCCAAATGGACATGTAAATCTACTACTTCACAAAGCCAAAGTGCTCTTTTTAAAGCACAGAAAATAGCAAAGTAACATACCAGTAGAACGCATGCTTCTCACTGAGTCATTTCTGTATTTTAGTTTCATCTGCTCTATGCCAGGGTAAGATATTTGCAAACTCATAGCAAAAGAATTATAAGGACCTTTGAGACCATCCAATGCAATGCTCTCATTTTTCACAAGAGAAAACTCAGAACAGTCATCAAGTGAGTCAGTCAGGACTAAACCTGAGGGTCAGCCTCACAGTCTACTGTTTATCACTTCATCTCTAATTCCAGTCAAAGATAAAACTGTGTTTCCCCTTTCTCGAGAATCTGAATATTTCTGTAGCTAATGTTGATATAAATCAGACTTTGTGAGATAGAGAAACAGAGAGAAAAGCAGCAAACCTAACATAATATACCAGCAAGCTTTTCCAGATACATCTGAGAGATAGTTTCAATAATGGAAAGCACTTCATACACTGCTTTATACAATCCACTCTTAATTCTGTGATAGAAAAAGGTAAAGAGTTCACATGGTAAAGCCATATGGGTCATTTGGTGACATTTTTAAAAGGTTTACTTTCAGACACACATGATTTAAAGTGTTTTTCCCTTTTCTCCTCTCAAACCCAAGCATATTCAGTATAAAATACCTGGAAAATACAACAAAACATTAATGAGTAGAGAAAGAAAATACATCACACTATTCTACCAACAAAAGACAACCACAGTTAAAATTTCAGCATAGTTCCTTCTTGTTTTTTTTTCTTTTCAAATGGTTGATATATACGTCATTAATATATATGTCATTAATGTATATGTCATTAATATATATATATGTCATTGATATATATTAATATATATGTCATTTCTAGATTTCCTTTTCATCTAAATTACATCTAAGCATTTAAATAGTTAACAGCTATTTGTAAACATCCTTTTAATGTATGGACTGTATTCCACGGTATAGATGTGCCAAATTTTTTTTTTTTTTTCTGTATGTTATGTCATTTAGGGTTTTGCTATTGAGGGCAAGAGGAGAAGGGGACAACAGAAGATGAGATGGTTGGATGGCATCATCCACTCAATGGACATGGGTTTGGGTGGACTCCGGGAGTTGGTAATGGACAGGGAGGCCTGGCGTGCTGCAGTTCATGGGGTCACAAAGAATCGGACATGACTGAGCGACTGAACTGAACTGATAATGTTATAATAAGCATTTGAGAAATAAACCTCCATCTTAATCCTTGATTATTTTCTTAATTTTAATTCCTAAAGTGGGGAATCAGTAGCTTAAGTATTATAAACATTTTAAAGTACCTGAAAGTTGGTACCAAATTTTCTTGTTTGTACCAAAGGTATATAAAAGTATTCATCTTATCGCGCTTTCCCAATAATTATCATATTTTTAAATCTTTGTTAATCTTACCCTATTTTAATTTGAATCTGTCATTGACCAGCATCATATATTTGTTACAAATTGTGTTTCTCATTTGGAACATCTACTCTTGAGGTCTTTGCCCATTTATCTATTGAGTAAGAAGGGAAACATTTTTATTGAAGACATCCAATTATGTTTTCTTTAATAAATAAAATAAAATACAACTTTTAAGCAAGTTAATAGCCTTTCTGAATTCACTAAAGCCTAAGAAAACAAAACTCCTTTAAAAATCAGTTAAGAGACAGAGAAAATAGCAGAACACTTTTTTTTCCCCCATAAGTATACGTTCTATGGGCTCCATTTAGTAAGTGATATGTTTATGCAACTTTCTGTGATTGCTGACCAAGTGTCAGATTAACAAACTGTTGAAAATAAAATGAAAAGCTGGAGGATGTGGCTTATGAAAAAATCACACTCTCTTTTTTAAAAGAATGTGCTCTGGTTCACACTGGTGGACTAAGAAAACCCATTTTACCTCCTTTCTCACCTGAAGTTATTTCTAAATGATACTAAAGGAGCCCATAAGTGTTAACCCATAACCACAAAGAGAATGGGAAGAAGCCGTTAGAAGGTGAGTGATTTCAATAAAAGTCTGTTGACTTAGAAGCCACAGCAAAGGAAACCACAACCTAAAAAGGGGTTTCAGCAAAGGAGAGAGCATACCGCCTGACACTACCCCAGAAAAACTAAATTCTCAGAATTAGTGAGTAAACCAGAGAGTGGAAGAGCTGAAAAGAGGGTTACAAATTACAAGTCAGTATACACAACGTAGAATTCCCGCCCTCCTGGCTCTCCAGGTGGGTTGACCTAAAGCCACCACTAGGTTCAAGGCAGTAAAAATTTGTCTGGGCAGAAGTTAGACTATTATCATGGGTGTTAAAACCTCACTCTAGCAAGTCAAGATCCTCCCCACCCCATTCCCATGCACACACTCTAAACTTTGACCCTTTTAGCATGCCATTTACAAGACCCATCTACTTTCTGAGGGTTAGCAAACAGCCCTTATATTACCTTATTCTTTTACATATAACTACAGATCACCAGAAATCTAACATGCCAAGAAAGGCCAGCATAGAAAATAAGACGAGCAAACAAAATAGCAGAAAACATGACACCATGGAAATATGACAATTTAGGGAAAAAAGATACAAACTTACAAAAGAAAATCAGGGACTTCCCTGGTGGTCCAGTGGTTAAGAATCCAACTAGGATTCACACCCAGTCAGTGAACCAAGATCCTACATAAGGTGGAGCAACCAAGCCCTGGAACTACAGCTACTGAGCCTGTGTGCTCCAGAGCTTGTGTGCCAAAAACTAAAGTCCTCGCCGGCCGCAAGGAAAGATCCTGCGTGACACAAAGGAAAACCCACTGTGACAACTAAGATCCAGCACAGCCTAAATAAATAAATAAACATTGTTTAAAAATAATAAAATAAGTATGTTTAAAAGTAATGAAATCAGTTAATATATTTTTACAAAATAATAGAATAAATAAATAAGAAAATCTTTTTAATATCCTCAAGAATCACTTGAGGAGATTTGGTAACTGAAACAAAACCAAAGTTATATTTAAAAGGAATAATCAGATAAAAGAAGGATCCCTCAGGAATTATGAGCTGGTACGTAGTTGCTCAGTTGTGTCCAACTCTGCGACTCTTTGGAATGTAGGCCACCAGGCTCTTCTATCCACGGGATTTTTCAGACAAGAATACTAGAATAGGTCGCCATTTTCCTCCTCCTGGGGATCTTTCCAACTCAGGGATCGAATCCACATCTCCAATGTCTCTTGCATTGCAGGCAGATTCTTTACCTGATGACCCATGATAACCTAAGCAAAAAATTCAATAGATAGCTTAATGACAAACTTAGAGAAATCTCCCAGAATATGTATTAAAGGTATAATATGTGAGAAAAAAGTAAGATATATAGATGATTGATCCATGAGATCTAGATGTGGACTAATAGAAGTTTCAGAATGAGAAAAACAAAACTGGAGGGCAAGAAATCACAGAAAATTTCCATGAGTTAACAGGAGGCATGAATCTTTGAAACACAGGAATCTAGTCAATGTCAAGGAGAATGAATTGCAAAGCGTTAGAAAACTGAGGTTACAGAGAAATTCCTAACAGCCTCCTAAAAATACCCCCACTCCTCCCAGAAAAGATAGCCTATAGAAGGGGAAGGATCAGAGTAGGAGCAGAATCAGCAGTAGCAGTGTTGGCTGCTAAGAGACAGTAGTGAAGATCTAAAAAACAACCCATCTAAATGAGAGAAACATGGAGATCTATGAGAAATAGAGAGAAACACAGAATAGGAAGTCCAAATATGGGGTGGCTTCCCTGTTGGCACCTTCCCTAGCGGTAAAGAAACCGCCTGCCAACGCAGGAGACATGCA